CCGGGGGCCGGATGCGGCCCCCTGAGGCCTTTGGACCTGCCCTAGGCCAGTCCTGCTGCCACCACCGCCGCTACCCGCCATGATGATATTGATTATTGTTGTTATTACTTGTTCTTGGGGTTTTCTTGGCAAAATTTCCACAGTGGTTTTGCCATGGCTTTTCTGCAGCTGAGAGAGTGTGCATGCATTTTTATTTTTTAAAAAATTTATTTATTTATTTATTTATTTTTGGTGCTTCGGCCCCCCCAATTGTCTGAGGGACAGCAACCCGGCCCCTGGCTCAAAAAGGTTGCTTACCCCTGGTCTAGATAATCGGCTTCATCCAAGACAGCTTGGAGCTGAAGAGCAACCGCCCTCTTGATCACCTTGCTCAAAAATGGCAGCAGTGACACAGGCCTGTAGTTCTTCATATCCTGGGGATCAAGGGGAGGTTTTTTCAGGAGCGGCCTAACAGCTGCTTCCTTCAAACAAGATGGAACATATCCTTCCCTATAGGATGCATTGATGATATCTGTAAGGAATCTCATCAATGCATCCCCCCCCCGGACGGCCAGCCATGATGGGCAAGGGTCAAGAGGGCAGGTTGTCTTCCTCACCTTACCAAGCAGCTTGTCCACGTCCTCGATACTCACAGATTGGAGCTGATCCAGTATAACTACATCGGCAGAGTCGCTGGACGCCTTGCCTATAGACTCTGTTTCAACAGTGGCATCTAAGTCGGCTCTTATCTGAGAGATTTTATCTGCAAAGTAGTTGTTAAGTGCATCATCTCCCTCACCACCCTAAACAGTTCTGCTGGATGGGACTCTGTAGACGCAATACGTGTAGAGGAGAAAGCTCTCTTTGCTGCACATATTGCCTCCCAATAGGAACGAAGAAAGTTCCTATGACGAGTTCTGTCAGTTAAGAGTCGAGTCTTCTGCCACCTGCGCTCTAGCCGTTGTCCAACCCACTTCATTCTCTTAAGCTCTGCCATATACCAAGGCCTGCGGTTTGAGTCGGTTTGGAAGGGCAACTATGAAGGAACTAGACAAGATCCTGAAGTGTAAAGATACATCATTAAATACCAAAGTTAGGACTGTGCATGCCATTTTATTGTCCATTTCTATGTATAGTTGTGAAAGCTGGACAGTGAAGAAAGCTGATAGAAAGAAAATAAACTCATTTAAAATGTGGTGCTTGAAAAGAATTCTGAAGATACTGTGGACCACTAAAAAGACCAATGGATGGGTCCTAGAGCAGATCAGACCTAGATTCTCCCTGGAAGCAAATTTGACTAAATTGAGGTTAAGTATATTTTGGCCATATCATAAGAAAGGACTCACTAGAAAAGACTGACTATACAACTGCCCCTCCCAATTCACGGGGGATCAGTTCCAGACCCCCCCCCCAAAATGGGAACTTGCTAATATTGGAGCCCCATTGAAAATAATGGTGTGTGTGCTGCCTTTTTGTCCCTCTTTGCTTGCCGTTCTGTGAAGAGTGAGACCATGGACTCCAAGTTCGCGAATCGGGAGGGACGACTGTGATGCTTTGTAAAGTGAGAGCAATAGGAAAAGAGAACGGCCACATTCCAGGTGGATAGGCTCAATGAGAAGCAATGGCCATGGAGTCTGTGGGAGATGAGCAAGGCAATTGAGGCTAAGGTGACTTGGTGGTCTCTCATACATAGGGTCGCCATGAGTCGAAGTCGACCAAGAGGCAATTAACAATAACAAATCATGCTTAATGACATAGCCTGGGGCTGCCCCTATTAATATCACCCATATAATATCAACATGACGCACCACCATGACATCACAAGGGGCGGTCTCAAGGTCTTGGCTTCAAAGTCTCAGTCCTGACTTGGCAACCCTAAGCCAGCCAGACTTTTGAGGTAAATACAATCTGCAATGTTATTCAGTAATGTCAACAACTACCACTAAAGAAGATCAGGACTGGACTGAAGGAGTGGTTGAAACTAAACTAGGCATGGGCTAAGAGAAAAGTAAAATGAGGTAAAAAGACATTGGCTCTCCAGAAGTGCAATCAGGATAGCTGCAAAGAATCAGGTAAGCATGAGGAGATCCAACAAGGATAAATATGTTTTTTGTCAGACAAAAGGAATCAGGCCTGATCGGTCGTTAATAAGTTGGTGCAAGAAAAGTCAGACTGTGAGAATTAGAAGCCAAGGACAATATACCATTTAAGAATGCCTCTTTAAGACAGAATATGCCTTAACAATTATTGGAGGATATTTGGGCTGTTTTAACTAAATTATTTTTTTAAATTAGATCCCTATCCTTCATCCAAATTGATCACCAAAGTTCAAGATGTTCTGGGATAGGACTACATGGTTCACTTTCTCTTTGAATAGAGTAGAAGCTTAGGTGTTTTTGGACTTTATCACACGGGCTATGAAAGTGGAAATTTACCAGGATAAAAGTGTCTTTGATCAGTATTTCTCACACTATGTTGTGTCCATCCTGGTGCCACCTTGTATTCCATTCATTACTGTAGTACACCTTTTAATTGACAGGCAAAACCCATCAACAGGCTCTCAGTCTTGCTGATATTCCCTTACTGCCTTTGTGCGATAGGGCCCTTCCACTGCAGTTCCACTTCTCAGACAGTCATGTGGTGTGAGTGGGTGTGACTCTGCTCCTCTCCCCTCCCCTTTACAGCAATTGCAGCCACTAACAACTTCCTGAAGTCGCCTTGTGTGTGCATATCTACATACCAGCTGGTTTTGAGAGGCCCTAGTCCTCCACGTTCCTCCTGAAGTGTGGGGCTGCTGTGTGAATATCAGGGTGACCAGACATCCTCCTTTTCCCAGACATATCCTACATTCCAGCCTTCTGTCCAGGAGGAATTCCAAAATTTCCTCCACTTTGAGCATGACAATGAAGCATGGGTTTCTATTTGTAGGAGTGCATCTTTTGTAGGAGTGCATTATTTTGTAACGTTCTACATTTTTTTGAATGCTCTACATTGCAATGCTTTTTCCTCCTTTGTGGGTAGCACATCTGGTTGCCCTGTGTGAATGTGCAAACAGCAGACCCATGCTTTGGGAAGGGGGAGGAGGAGAAGTGATCATGGCTGCCAACACCTTCCTGAAGCCATTTAAACTGCACTATTAACATTTACATTCATTACTAAAAATTAAGTCACTTTGGGTCCTAATATGGAGGGAAAGACAAGCTATAAATTAAAAAATAGTAGTATTAAGTAGTAGTAGTAGTAACAACAACAACTAAGTGGCCTCTACTGATTGGAAAGCTAAACTGAATTTAAATGTTAAGACTGCACTCCTGTACATGCCTATTTAGAAGTAAGTCTAATTGAATTCACTAGCGATACATTAATGGTACAGATAAATTTTCTGAACCATTTTACAATTGACTGCAATTTTTAGAAAAGATGTAGAGCAGGGGTAGGCAACCTAAGGCCCGGATGCGGCTCCCCAAGGCCTTTGGACCGGCCTGAGGCCGGTCCTGCCGCCATCACCGCTGCTGCCCCCCACCACCGCCGCCGACGACCATGATGATATTGATTATTGTTGTTATTACTTGTTCTTGGGGTTTTCTTGGCAAAATCTCCACATGGGTTTTGCCATGGTTTTTCTGGGGCTGAGAGAGTGTGCATACATATTTTTAAATTTAAAAAAAAATATTTATTTATTTATGGTGCTTCAGCCCCCCCCCCCCAATTGTCTGAGGGACAGCAACCCGGCCCCAGGCTCAAAAAGGTTGCCTACCCCTGATGTAGAGTCTGAAACCACATCTTTCTTATCTGAGCCTTTTTTGTTGCCGACTACAAATGGTTACTACACCACAAACATTTAAAATGAAAGCTATGAGTTTTTCTAATGTAGTACTGGCATTGGATGAATATGGCTAAACAGAAGTAAAAGTGACAAAAACAATGACCAGGA